AAAAAAAACGACCATTACATCCACCCACTAACCAAATCAATTGATGATTGCTTACCACGTGTGCTACTATCAACATATCTCTTTCCGTGTTGTCCCCGTGGGCTTGCGAGTAGTACTGATCAGCAATTGTATGTGTCTCGAGATACTTGGTAGTAGAATCAGCGTCTCTAGCGTCTGGCTCATCACTAGACCGTATGGATGCACTCCTCTTCTCTCGTTGCCCTGTAGATCCAAAACTCCGTTTAGACTGATATAATACATTTATTAAAGACTTAGCACTTGCATAGGATACGTACAAACGTTTCCTCTCATTCATGTCATTTGTTGTTTGTTCGTACCTTGTAACTGCAAGCAGTTGCTGTTGTCAATTGTTGATCTTCTGTAGACAATATGAGAAATGGCTCCATCTTTCTTATTATAATGCTTTGCAAGATGYGAGGACAGAGGTTTTATGAACAAAGAATCGTCCTTGCTTTGAATCATTCCAGTCTATAATGGAAACAAAAATGGTAGCTATGAGGTAGCTATTAACTTATCTATAGCTATTGAACCAACATTATATCTCTCGCATTGTTTATATGAAATAATGTGTTAAGAAGGAACCCGAAGACCTTACCATGGAAAGTCATTATAATTCAACTGGTAGCTGGCGGATCGTATATGTCCACACTCGTAAGTTACTTTAGTAGGTGACTATTACAAGGGTTTACTACCAGTAATGCGAGGAAAAGAGGGGTGGCTTAATACGGATAGCGTTGAGGAATTTCAGGAAAAGGGGGATGGCTATAGCCACCTGGATAGTATATGAATTAGAGGAGTTTTCCTGTGCCACTCGATGTTGCAGCCAGGCCAATTTCCTCCCAGGAGTAAACCGAAGGTGCCAAATATAATGCCTGTACCTGAGAATGGTAAATCTTTTCGTGCTTAAAATAAACATACAACTTATTTTTTCTTTATCATTATAGGATTAAATAGTAACTGATAACTATAACTGCCATAACACGAGGCACAACAATAGTATTTTGCCCCTTGGAAACTGAATTTTCATGTAAATCAGATGAGACCAGATTCAATTGGTCCTATCTCAGTGTCATAGCTGCCATCACGTGATTATAGTAAGCAAAACCTACCAGTCCACTATCGTCGTTGCTAATGGCAACCACAGAATTAGGATCAGAAACCACGTGACCTTGATAATAATTGATACGCAATGGTTCTCGAACTTTGATCTTTCCGTCCGCTTCAATAATTTTGACTTTTGCCTCGGGTGTCAGAATGTCATCGCTTTTGGACACTCTTACATGGATGTTTTTACCAAGTGCGTCCATTTTGTAGAATAACTCGCTGTCTTTTCCTAGACTACGCCTTTGTCTTGTCTTTTGGCTTAGGTCGTTACTCAAAAACTCTCCAGTATGGTCTGCCAGGAATGGATGAACGACAKCGTATTCTGGAACTGCATTTTGCAAACAAAAACAAAAATAAAATAATGTACTTGTTTGAATGCCTTATCCTTGCACTATCACTCGACGTCCGATAAGTGTATTCTGCATCGAAACGATTGCAACGCTCTTTTGCCTTTTCACTCACGCTCTCTGTTCCTTGTAGCTTTTTTTATTCCTTCAGTTCAGGTATGTCATTTTCTTGCTTTATAGCTTTATTTTGTACTTATTATTTTTTKGACTCCTTTTTTGATACACATTTGGGGGGAGAGGGTGTGCCCAAGGTCGAGAAAGACTAACCTTCCGATCGGGAATCCACTCCAAAATGCTGCTGGATTTCCTGTTTTGTCATTCTATGATGAAGAGGGATATCCTGAAAGAGAATTGGAGAATGGAAGAGAATAAGAAATATGATCCACTGTCGAGTTTTAATGAGGCAAAAAATATAAATAAAAAATAAATAAAACAACAAACAAATCAAGCAAATGGTAACAGAATGACCAAAGTCTTGTAGTAATGCTATATGCAGTTGTCATTCGTGCCCTTTTACAACTATTTAGTTCAAGGGAAAGAGAGATGCGATTTTTTTTGACAGTTAGAAAATTGCCAGAGGAAAAAAAAAAAAAAAAATTCAAATATTTTTTGTTCTGTTTATTTTGTATGTTAATTGTAAATTAAATCTATAAATGCGATATTTAACTGTTAAATGTTTCAGGAATGAGAGTGAATTGTTTTCAAGATACTTATAATAATCCCTCTTACCTTGGGGTGGGCTTGGCTCCCCATCGATTGAAGCGCTACAAGATACAAACAAAAATAAATAGAAAATATTAAGAATCAGCATGTAACCGTCATGTAGGCCAAAAACTAAATCATTAAGGACGGTGCCTACTAATTGAGAAGCAATTATTTTTTWAAATGACTATGTGAATTATTTTAACCTATCAAAGGGTTGTCAAATTCTGGTTAGAAAAGTAGGGGTCACCATGCATTTAAAAGAAATAATAAGGCTTAGAAATCGTTAAAAAGTGATGACGTCATGATTTTACTAACACCAGGAAAAATTTTTTTTTTCAAAAGATTTTGAGAAATTTCTAATTTAAATCGTCCTAAATGACTGACACTTTGTTTCTTTACTAAAATATACCCAATTCTACCATTA